ACATCATGGCGCCCGACCGCTATAATTATCCCTCGTCTCCGAGGCAGACTTCTCATTGCACAAGTGGAAGTCCATGGCACTGCGTGCGATCTGGAGTAGCCTTTTGCTGGCAGCGCTGTTCACCGCCAGCGCCGACGGCCGCCGTGTGAAAGCGCTCCGCGCGCGCTTTGCGCACTGGCGCCACTCGCCCGCAGGTCAAATCGCACTGCAACGCGGGTTCCTCGAGAGCAACCACACACTGGAGCGCTACTTTAACGCACGGCTCCGCGCCCGGGCGCTGCGGCGCGCGAATCCCCACGCAACCTTTGGCCTCACACCGTACGCGCTCTTGACACCAGACGAGTTTCAACACTGGGTCGACCCCAACCGCACGTTCCATCTCAACGACTCTAGCATCGTTGACCGCGGGTTTGCGTCGACCAACTGGACGATTGTCGCTGGCACAACCCCGGACGAGTGGCACATTGATATCGTGCGCGATGACCCGGTCGTGGCGCCACCGACGTTGCCCGCCGACACAAGTAACGCGTCGACGCCGGTCGAGTGGGCGGTCGACCACACGCGCTGCTACGTGACACCGCCGCGCTTCCAAGGCCGGTGCGGCAACTGCTGGGCGTTCGCATCGAACGCTGCAATTGAAGGCGCGTACTGCGCCAAGTTCAACACGACGATTTCGCTTTCGGACCAGTTTGTCACGACGTGCAGCGACAGCCGCGGCGGCTGCAACGGCGGTACGACAGTTGCCGGCATCAACTTTGCGCGGTCCGGCGCGTGTGCGCTGGCAGACGCACCGTTCACTCTGGGCAAAACCGGCACCGGTGGAGCATGCCAGCCCTGCGCCAAGCCGCTCGAGTTGGGGGTCGCAGGCGTCGGTCGCGTCGCCAAGTCGGTCGCCGCCTTCCAGCGCACGCTCGCCACGACGCCGATTGCCGTGAGCTTGAGCGCGGGCAACCCAGCGTGGCAGTTTTACGTCGGTGGCGTCTTGACATCCGGGCACAATGCGAGCGCGCCGTTGGACCACGCCGTGACCATTGTCGGGTACGGCGTCGCGAACGGCGGCGTGCCTGTCTGGAAGATCCGCAACTCGTGGGGCACCAAGTGGGGCGAAGGCGGGTACATGCTGCTCGACGCCTCGACCAATGGCACCGCCAACGGGCTCTTCCACGTCCTTTCCCAAGGGTTTGTGCCGCTGATGTAGCCTCGTATGCATATCTGTTCGAATCCATCCTGCTTCTTGTTGAGTTTGCGCTTGCAAAGCTGGTCGTGTGAGAGTACGCGCTCCTGGTGCTGCAGGGTGGTTCACTGTCGTCGCGGTACTTCATGTGGCCATCATGTTGTCATCCAGGCCTGCCCCGCCTGCATGCCTGTCGTTCCTTGTCGCTGCATACCGTGCGTAGCCGTGCGCCAATGGGCCTTTGCTACCTACGTCGTGTCGTCGCGCTAAAGCTCTACGATGCCGAGTGTGATTGCTGGTGGCGGCGCGTGGGCTGGACGCTGCGGTCGGTGCTGATCGAGTATAAGTGCGGGTTGGTAAGTTAGCGGCATAGCTATCATTCGTCCTTGTCCTTGCGCAGGCGCGGTCGCCACTGGATCGGGTTGCGGTTGAAGTACGGCCAGTTGGGCAGCGTGAGGACGACGGCCGTCGCGCAGGCGGCGCCCCAGGCGTAGAGCGGATAGGTAAAGTCCTGCTGGAAGAAGCCATAGATCCACGCCGGCGTGCAGAAGACGATGAAGATGATGCGCATCATCTTCTCGGCGAGCGCTTGCCCCGCGTAGTCGACCATGGTCTCGCGGATGTTTTGGCGTATGACCGGCCACGTGGAAGGCAGCCATCTTGCGGCAAGTATACCATACAAATCGAAGGTACTTGGGTCAATCCAACACTATTTTAGTTTATGGAACTGAAAATAGTGTACGTTTGAAACCACGTGTTCTTTTAAAGGTTTCTTTTTTCTTTTAATCTCGTTAGGCCACGGTCCAAGAGCAGCATGCATACGCCGAGGGAGTCAACCTCGACTGTTGAGGTCCCACCTGCTACACTGAGAGCTTCGCACCGGAAGGAATACTCGGATCGGATTTAAAGAACGCACGATTCTGTTTGTTTATTAGTTTTGGACATTTAAAGACGCCGTTTCTATTAAAGAATTGAAACCGCGCGTTCTTTTTTTGCGCTCCCCCCGGTCGTTTCACACTAGATCTTTCCGAGTCGAGCAAGCAAGAAGCATGGACGAGAAGGAAGCGGCCGGAAGCGACGTCGAGGCCAAGACGACCGATTCCAAGCGCCGGGCCTCCGACTCGGACGACGACGACCGCGCGCCGGACGCGCCATCCGCCGACGTCGTCGCGCTCCGCGATGGGTACAACCAGACGTACATCATCCAGTCAAGCAAGAGCCATCTGCATGAGGTGCTCTTCCGCTGTGGCAACTGGTGCTACACGGGCAAGGTCGACGTCGGCGACGCCGAGATCGCGCTCGCCGACTTGCCCGTCGTGATCCCGGCGCTCCAGAAGCAGCAGGGCTCGCTGCAGTTCCTCTGCGAGTGGAAGCAGATCCCGGCCACGTCGCCGTATGCGATGCCCCTCGAGACGCTCTACGACGCGTTCGACTTTATTGGCACCGAGCTCGCGTCCAAGGCCATTGAGAAGAAGCTCATGAAGGCGGCGCAAGACAACACGTGGGTCGACGACGACGCGGACGCCAAGAACTTTTTCGAGCTCGAGACCGGTGGTTTTGACTGTTTTGACGTACGCCGCTCGAAGCACTGTCCACCGAGACGGCTCATGCGCGTTCTAGGGCATCGACCTCGTTGCGAGCAAGACCTTTGTCCGCGGCCTCGTCTTGGTTGTCATCTACTACCAGGTATCCACGTCATTTCGCTCGCTTCGATCGTCCTAACACGTATGCAGCGGAGTTTTTACGTGGTTCTTCAAGAAGGCGTCGGCGAGCAGCCATTGCTTGACGTACGCTTCCCGGATCTGACGCAGCACCTCCAAGGCGTGCATCTGCGCCACTACCAAGAGAATTTTATGAACATGAAGAAGCTCGTGCTGTGGCAAGCGATGCCAAGCGACAGCAAGCCCAAGAGCCCGCCCAAGACGTTTCAAATGCAATGCAAGGACGTGAGTGGCACCGGCTACAACCAAACGTTCTTGATCCAGCGCACACAGCCGCGTACGTCTGTATTCGTTCATACTAAACACGATCGACTAACGACGTGTACCTAGTCGAAGGCCATCCCGAAAGCAAACTTCGTGAAGTGCTCTTTCGGTTTGGGAGCTGGTGCTACAACGGACACGTCGACCTCGGTCCCAAGCTCGAGCTCTCGGACATCCCCGTGGTCATTCCGATGCTGCGCCGGCAACAAAGCGCCCTTGTACGTCCATACAGTCTTGTCATAAACTGTGTACGATGGCTGGCGTAGACGTTCATGTGCGAAGTCACCAAGATGCCAGCGACGTCCCTTTTTGCGTCGACAATGGAATACATTGCGAGCATTGTTCCTGCCATCCAAGCAGAGCTCGCGGCCACGGAAGAGATTCTCGCCGGGCTCCAGAAGAAGGGTGACAGCAACGACGTCAGTCGGTGGCTCAACGACGAAGCCGCCGAGTGTTTCTTTGAGCTCGGCATCGAGCCCACCCCACAGCTCAAGGTATTTTGTTTCAAACTGTCAAGTTGATACAACGGGGATGTAGCACGTCGAAGCAATCGCGTGCAAGGTGTACACGGGCACGCTCGTCATGATCGTGCTCTACTACGACAATGCCTTTTACGTGCACATTGAAGACGGCGAGGACGAGCAGCCGCTTCTCGACACGCGGTTTCCGGACGTCACGTGCCAAAAGAATGGCTTCCAGGTCTCCGCCATGCTGTGTGCGACTGCACCTTACGATCTCGCATTAGGTCAAGACGCTCCGTAATGGCGTCAAGGGCTTCCCGGAGCTCCGCAAGATTTCGCTGTGGAAGGTCAAGTATGGCGACGGTGATGGCGACGAGGACCGCGTGCCCGAGACGATGAACCTTATTGCGCAAAAGAAGGTGTTGCATGGCCAGGTCGCGGCGCTGGATCTCGGTGCGGACGCCAAGACGACCGAGCGCCGAAAGGAAGAGGACGTGAAAGGCGGCTCGCCCACGAACCGCAAGATCAACATGCCCCACCACATTGCGCCGCTCAAGACGAGCACGAACCTCAAGTCCAAGCTCAAGGACCTCGGGCCCGTCGAGTCGCTCAAGGCGCCGTGGGACGAGACCGGTCGGCCCGTGCTCGGAAGCCGCAAATAAGACGCTAGGGCGTGTCGCCAATACGTGTTGCTATGCCTATTCCATTTCTTATGGGGCTTTATGAATCTCCATCCAGTCGCCGACGACCGGGTGCGCTGCATAATCGGTCTGCGAGAGCGACACCGCCATGGCGTCGGACGTCGAGCCGTACACGGAGGCGCCGACCCACGTCATGAGGTTGGGCGGGAACGCCGTCGCCACGACGCGCGCCGACGTGTGCTCGGCTTGAAGCTCGCTCTGGAGCCGCGCGCGAAAGCCTACGACGACGTCAACGTCAAGCGCACGAGAAGGGTCATCCTCCGACCAGGCAGCATGCACGTGCCACCAATGCACAGGATGTTTTCAGACAGCGCCTTTCGGGTGTCGACGGGACACTTGGCCAAGCAGTCGAGAATCACATCCGGGATCGAGATGAGCTCGTCCGTGCCTACGACCAGCGGTGACGGAGGCGATATGTACGCTGCAGGTGGTACCAGTGAAGAGCGGCTCCAAGCACTCGTGCCGGGCAGCCCCGGGCAGCTACAGCAGAAAACGCGTGCGTCAAGCAGGAGGTACCCTTCGCCCATCGCATGTAAATACCGTGAGGGCCTTTGGGGTATACGCAAAGAACTCGGCGTCTTCAACGACAAGATCCTAACCGCGTGTATGACGGTCGTTGTAGCCGCCGGTAGCTCGTACCTCGGAGGACGCGGGCAGAACAAAGCAAGCCCGCTCGAGGATGTCTTCGACGGGCGTATCGCGCGTCTGGACGTAGCCTTTGAGGCCGGCGCAAGCATATTGACTCGCAAGCCCCGTCGCTAGCGACGCATGTGCATCAGAGACGAGGAAGAAGAGGGTGGTGTACTCTTGTAGGCCGAGAGAATCGGCATGCGCTCAAAGACCGGGAGTACCCGCGTCTCGAGCCAGCCGACGTCGACGATGAGCGCCGTCACGTGGCTGGTTGCATACAGCGCCGTGGTCGTCGCGGGCACGAAGAGCAGATGCTTGGCCTATGCTGCATGGTACAAGGTGGATGGTAACAAGCACAGACGAGACCTTGAAAACGAGAAGGACGACGTCGTGGATGGCCTCGCGCAGGTTGCGCGGGAGGAGCAAGTCCTCGCAGACGACGAACCTTCGGTTCTTGGGCGTCACGCGGAGGTCGCTACCCATGCATTACGATGAAGCCTACTGTCCTTGGAAGATGGTGTCCATGGTCGTACTGGAAGCAGACGCGGTAGAGATGACCGCCCATGTAGTCGTGCCACTGGGCCTTAGAGAGCGGTGGCGTCTGGAGGAGCTTCTCTGCGAGCTACGTATCGATCGAGAACGCATCTCATGGGGAAGATGCTGCGTACGTCGTAGCGGAGGACCGCCCGGGGGCTGCGCTCGCCCGAGATCCCGCTCTTGAGGTACCGACTCCCGACGTCGAGGACGATCGCGTGCTTCTCCATGTTCATCATCGTCGCCAACATGCAGGGATCTGCCGGATACAATATCCGGATACGATCGATCGATCTTTTTAATTAATATTTTTAATATTTTTTTAATACTAAAATCGCACGTCGCCAGTGCGTGGACACTCTTGTCTATCCTACATCGACAACAGGAATACTTTGTCCATATTACAACACTATTTGTCGACCGCTTCACGTCAACATGGCGTTGCGACGTGACAAAAGAGGGGCGTTATGGGGTTAGGGCTAACTATGACGACACGGCCTCCGAGTGCGCGTGGTAGCCGCCGGCAAACGTCGGCGGCAAGCCCGTGTCCATGCCAAGGTCCGAGAGAATTGCCTCGAGGCGGTCCACGATTGTCGCAAAGGACGGGCGCGCCGGCGGGTCCGAGTCCCAGCACTCGCGGATCAGGCTCGCGTACGCCGGGTCGACCTAGAGCTCGAGGTCAACCGTTGCGATATGCTTCATCTATGTACCGTGTCGTCAATCAGCGGTCGCAAGCCCTTGTTGATGGTCTGGTGGTAAAACTTGACGGGCGCCATGCCCAAAAATGGGTTTTCGTGGGCACCGGCAATCATTTCCCACATGACGATCGCAAAACTACATGTGGTCAGTACCAGATTCAGAGCAGATTGATAGCATACCTCCAGTTGTCGGCCTTGAACGTATACCCAATGTCTTCGTCCAAAAGCACCTCGGGCGCGACCCTAATGCATGTGTCGTGTGCGTTCCGAGGCATGAGAGCTCGAGTTACCAGCCGCTGGTGCCGCAGTGTGTAAACGCCTGCGCGCCGACGTCGAGGACCTTGCTAATGCCAAAGTCGGCGACCTTTGCCCGCCAGTCGTCGTCCACGAGCAAGTTGTGCGACTAAAGAGATATCGTTGGATCCAAAGATTCTTGCATTTGGATAGCTGGATACCTTGATATCGCGGTGGATGATGCGGTTTGCGTGCAAGTAGGCAATGCCGCGCGCCGCGTCCAGCACCATGCGCACTTTGAACTAGTTGCGATGCTCAAATATCAATCTATCAAGTGAAAATGTACCTTCCACGGGATCGTAGCAAACATGGCCTTGTTGTGAATCACGCTGTAGAGACTAACATGCCATGAACGGACGTACTGCGAGCGTCGACAATGCATACCTTTTCCGGGAGCAATATTCGGTTAAAATCATGAGCTTGGGGCTGATGCAGGCGCCAATGAAGAGCACAATGTTGGGGTGCTTGAGCTGCCGGAGCATCGCGACTTCTTGCGTGTAATCTTGCATGATCTTGTCCGTCAAGCGCACGTACCGAAACACCTTGATGGCCACCTAGACGGACATTCTGAACGAGCAAAGAGAGCGCACTCTCTACCTCGGCGATCGACTTGGTGGTCATCCACATGCCGCGGTACACGGTCGCGCACTTGCCAATGCCGAGCTCGTTCTCTTTGCCGTCAAGGAGTCGGATGCTCTCATATGGAATGTCCAAGTATTGTTTCTGGGCTTCCAACACGCGCATTTGGTTCTTGAGGTCGTCGACTTCGTTGGTCGTGACGAGCGCCTCGTCCTCATGTGTGTCCTGGGTCTCGTCGCCAGCGCTACTAGCGTCGTCGACGATGGGCTCGAGCGGCTCGCGCTTGGACTTTTCTTCGAGAAGGTCTTGCGTCGCGCTCATGGTGCGCTTGAGCTCGGCTTCGCGCGCTTCGACCGTGAGCTCGACTTCATGTCGGCGTTCGGCCGAGAGACTCACCACGTCCGAGCCCGAGTTGAGCTACCGTTGCAGATTCCCAGCGCATGTTTACCACAAGAATGGAATACCTGCTGCACGAGCTTGAAGAGGACCGAGTCGGCGCCAACGCCAAGGTCGTCAACATGAATCTTGTCGCCATGCTCGAGGCCAATGTCGTTGCGCAGCCGGTGCGAGTCGAGCTGCAAGATGGTCGCTTGCGACGTGGCGTGAAACACTAACCACAACATCGTCCTCCCATCGAATATGCACCCGTCGATACCATTGTCCACGTCTTCTTTGGTATGAAACCACACGAGGCGCTGGCGGTCTTCCGGAATGCCAATCACGCGCGCGATCTCGCCTTTGAGGTCGGCGAGAATCGCTTCGCGCGAGATTTCAATGCACACGGCCGGCTGCGCGTCACCGGACGCTTGCACGCAGACCTAGTAACGCCGTAGGACGCCGGCTCGCTTGGGCGACAACGTACGACGCGGAGAAGCATGCGGTCGCTGTCGATGGACCGCCGAACGCGCTCGCGGATGGCTTCTTCCGAAATGTCCGACATGCTGCTCGCGAAAAAGTGAACCTAGACCAGCATATTGCCATTCGTCTTGTTCGAATCTAGCAAATCGACAGGCGACGTACATGGTGCTGGAAGAAGCGGTAGACTTCGCCCGCATGCGCGTGTGCATTGGCCGCCGAGACGACCTTGGACTCGAACGAGATCGATGACGAGGACGACGCGATTGGCTCCAACATGGCCGACGACGAATCGTCGTTGAAGATGTCCGAGTCGACGCTGCCGCTGCGCAAGCGGGCGGTCGGACTCGTTATGTCCCACGACTGCCACGTGATGAGCACGTATTTCGAGACAGTGCCTTGTTGCATCGGCACGTCCAGCCGAATGTAGATGTACTTGACGCCTGTCGTCGTGAGCAAGCTGGAGCCCATGCCGCCAAGACCTTTGAGCGCCTGGAGACCCGACTAGTACAAGCATCATGCGACGCGATCCAGGTAGAACGCACGTACCATGCCCGTCTCGAGGAGAACAAGCGTCGGTGCATCGTCGTCGCTGTTGGTCGCATACCCTGCAATGAGCCAGTTGAACGGGTTGGCGTCGAGCCGCACGTCCTCGTAGGCCGCGACCACGGCCGGCGCGAATTCGATCGAGCGCACAAGGTTCAGCCGCTTCGTAACACTTCGCCGCTTGGTCATGGGCAAGAAGCGCCGCATCGACTCGGTGCTACACAAGCGCTAAGTTCGTATATGGTAGAGACGTGTGTACCTGAGGTCGGATGCACTCTTGAGCGTGACGTGCGCCATGCCACCGAGATGCTCTTGGATGCGCTTGTGGAACTCTGTGTGCTTGGCACGCAACGCGAACGGCAGCGTCACGCCTTTCCAGCAAAACGAGACCGTGTACGCAACTGGGAATGAGAACGTGCCATTCGAGCGGGGCGTGCGCGGCGACGACGCCGAGAGGAGCGACGACGACGTGAGCGCATACTCTTCGGGCTCGATGCGGCAGAGGCCGTAGCAGAGCGACGACGGGTCGAAGAGCGCTTCCGGCCAGTTGTGCTCGTCCGAGATCGGGCCCGCGCCGTGTGCGAGCACCTCGAGGCAGACCTCGTTGCTGTGGCTCGGTGTCGAGGCGAGGACAAAGCCGAGGATGGCCCACGTGGCAGCCCCGTTGAGCTTGCGGACGTCGTCCAGCACCGGGTCGACGTTGTGGAAGAGCTGCTCGTCCGAGGTTCGCCCGACCGGCGGCTTGCTCGTGAGCCCCGCAAAGCCAAACATGTCTCGTCGGCGACAAATGCGGAAACCAATTCTTTAGATTTGGTCGCAACGTGCGTCATGGACCCCGGGGCACACAGCTGGCGCACCGCACGATCTAAATTCGGCATGTGCCGTATTCAACAACATGGCGCCAGCGCGCACGCCAGCGCGCAAGCCGATACCGTACTACCTCGCGACAGCGCGAGCTCCCATGTAATGCGAGGTCCAGTCCGAGTCCATGGGGCATTCATACGGCCCCGGGGCACACAGTCCATTACGATGTGTTGGTATGCTAGCTCTAGTTGCTCGTTTAGTTGTACATTTGTCGGTAACGTTCATTTGAAAGACAATTATCGACAATGTTTTCCATCCTTCCTCGCGCGACAGCTCGCAACGTAAACGCGTGTCGGAACCTAGACGAGGCTCACGGCGCTACGAGCCATGGGCAAGGACCGTGACTTGACGTGATGGAGTCTTATTTTCGGCAGAATGGACCCAAGTGCACGGGTGCTGTAGACGAAACAGCCACGTTAGCAGGTGACCGCGATGGCATTGCGACCCATGTAGCTTCGATCGTCTCCTCTCTTGGCAACGACCTGCGCCCGTCGAGCGAGTTGGTCGAGACAAGGCGGTCGCACCCTCTAAACCGCAAATGGTGCCCCGGGGTGTGGCCGCGGTGTGCGTATCTCTGGTCTACTAAAGATGGTTGTGGGCAGGTGATTAAATAGTCGTACACTCCTGTGGCTCTAGTCTATTACCGCGCGTACAGCGTAATGTGGCTCATGGCGGCCTTGAGCTTGGCGACGAGGAGGCCAATGTACGAGGGGCGAAAGAAGCGGACGCCATCGCGCTCGGCAAACAGCGTCATGGTGGCCTCCGTGTAGAACGTATCGTAGATGTCTTCGAGGCGGCCGCGGACTTGCGGCGGCGGCGCGTTGGCACTTAGGTCGTCCAAGCACGCGTGCAGGATCTCGGCCATGTTGGAGTACGGCCAGAGCTCCCGCCACATGGCGAGTGTCCACATCTCGTCGACAAAGCGCAACGTGGCTTCCAGGTGATGGCGTAGCACAGCGTCAGAGCTCATGGCGTTCGCGCGGTGCGGGTGGCGCAGGTACGCAACGTGCTGGATGAGGTCGACGGCGCCGCAGAATTCGACGGCCGCGAGCCGCGACTCGAACGCAAGCGTGGTGTGGTGCTTGGTGGCCGCGTCGTCGCTGGACGTAGAGCCCAGCCGCACCTCTCTCTTGCCATACAGCGTCGCCCAGAGATCGCTTGTCGCTAGGTGCTCGGGCTCGCCGTTATGGGCCGTCGTTGTGATCGAGCCATCGTCCAAGCGCACAAAGATCGTCGCGTGGTTCGCATGGCCCGTGAGCTTGTCCATGAGGGTCGGGTCCTTGAGGACGCCAAACTCGCATGCGACGCCGCTCCGCGCGCCGTCCTCGAGCTCAAAGTAGCTCCGGCGACTGTCCTTGCGGATGCTGTTGAGGCGCATGAGATGGACCGACATCGTTTCTGCAAAAATGAAAATGGAATATCTTCTCGAAGTTGGCCATACATAGAAAGTGCGTGGTGGGTTTTGCGAAGTTCGAAGTCCGTTTTGTGGTATTTCTTACCGACAGACACTCCTGTGCTTTTAGACTATTGTCCATATTTACAAGGAATGGTATGGGATATTGGTGGGAAATAGGACAATGCACTGCTGCAAATAGGGAATGTTTCGTCAAGTGCCAAAGGCAAGTGGAGGCAACTCTCACCAAGGGACATTCTTGAAGTGGGCAGAGTGTATACGCACTCGCATTGATCTCGTATAAAGAGATCCTTCTCGAGGCGATATAGGAGCTAGTAGTTACTATAGGAGCTTGGTTCTTCTGTAATACCGGTCCTGTCGGTGCGAAATGGACAATATTGTCGTTTAGTCAATAATAACGTGGCGAATTACCCCCTTAAATATATATATATATATCGTCCTGTAGCCTACATGTAGAAGGCGAGGTGGGTCTGGAGCGCCTTGATCTTGGCGACAAGCAGCGCCACGTATGAAGCGCGGTAGTACCGGACGCCGTCCTTCTCCATGAAGAAGTTGATCGCTGCGTGGCCGTAAAACTGGTCGTGCACCTCGGCCAGCGTCGCGTTGATCGCGCGGACGCGCTGGACGTTTGTCGCGTCCGGGAGCGCAGCCAAAACGCTGCGCAGCGCGCTCAGCACATTCGAGTACGGCCAGAGCTCCCGCCACATGGCGAGCGTCCACATCTCTTCGGCAAATGCCAGCGTCAAGCGCGTGTACTTGAGCATGCTCGCGTCGTGGTTGAGCGACTCGGCAAGGTACCGTGGCTCGCGGAGGTGCTCAATGTGCTGGATGAGCCCGACGCAGCCGCAAAACTCGACGGCTGAGAGGCGGTCGCTGAATGCGAGCGTCGTATGGTCGTGGCCCTGGCGCGTCGCGACGATGACGCTGCGCCGGCCCCGCAGATGCACGTCCGTGCAGCCTTGTGCGATCGCAATGTCGGTCGTCGCGCCCTGCGCCGTGATCGTAATCGTACCGACGTCAATGCGCACGAAGAGCTCGGCCTTGTTCTTGCTCGACGCCGCCGACTTGAGCTTCATCTTGTCCATGAGGTTGGGGTCCTTGACGACCGTAAAGGTGGTCGCGATACCGCTAACCGTGGAGCACGCCCTGCCGCGGACCTCAAAGTACGCGTCGTCGAGGACGCTGTGGAGCTTGAGGAGCTGCGACGACGACATGGGCCTGGCGAAGCAGATTGAGTTGTGGCTCACCAGCGTTCAAGGCAATTTGTTGACGCGAAGTTCGAAGGTCCTTTTCGACGACGTGGGCTTGGATTTCACACCGTGGGTTTTGCAGCGCTCTATGGCCGCATTGTATGCCATGTGGTGCGAAACTCGTGTGATTTAAGTGTGATTTGACAGTGGGCTGGTGGCACCCATCGCGCCTCGAATGGGAGCACCGGACGGAGAAGCTGATCGCTGTTGTTGCTGTCGCTGCGCTGCGGCCATGGCCTCGGTACCGCGCCCACCAAGTACTGTTTATTCTTCGTACACAATGGCGTTTCCATCCAAAGGGTTCACGCGCAAAATCGTGTCGACGCGACGAATGACCAGGCTCGAGCCCACACACCAGCATAGCACACAGGTGGTGTGCTGGTTTGTTGGACGCGACAGCCGTGGACGGGTTGTTGACTGTTGGTATATACTGTAATTACTGCCTACTTTGCCCAAACAAAAACGACTCGGAACGCTGTGGGGAGCGTGAGAAGGTCAACTTTGCGATGGATGGACGCTGTGGCGGGGAGCGGTGACCCGAGATGGTTGACCGACAGGTTCAACGTCTCGCTACTCGTCCTGAGCCGTGGGCCGGCCACGTTGGCGTCAATGACCCGCTAAAAACTGGCGCGTTACGTCCATCGAAGTTCGAAGATGACGCACATGCCGGAGTGGCGGCCGGAGCTGAATTTTTGAAATCGCCAGCACTCTTGGTTGCAGAGTGATGGTTGCGATCTTTCGCGCTTGAAGGCGCCAAAGGCTGCTGCAAATACGATGCACACAACGAAGAAATGCGGTCATTACGCACTCGCAACTGCGTCCTGATGATGGAGCTGCCATCTTACATCACATCAAAAAGCCGCCCGGTTCCATCAAAGAGCCGCCACGTTGTCACTACCCTTTGTGTATCGGCGATACCTTTTTCTTTGCATATTTTTGCAAACGTACATGTGTCCTAGCAGTTAAACAAATTTGTAACCTGGGGCATCACTGTCCACCACGAAGCAGCGAGGCGTGTCTGTACCGACGCTCGAATGCTCGCTACTGCGACGCCTCTCCAGGGCTCATGTGCGTGGAACTTGAGCGGCGTAGAACGCCTCAATGCGTAGCGACCCATGTGGATACGACGTGCAGCAGCAATACAAGAGTCCGTCCGTGCAGCAAACATGTTATAATATGACTGCAACTATGCTGTACGCAAGAAACGCAGTGTCCTACGAGGACGGGCTGGATTTTTGCTGCAGAAGACCAGGCTTTTTCGCAGCTTGCTGCGCACAAGTCGCTGCTACAATGAGGCATGAACATGTCGTTATAGAGATAGGAAATTTTTCATGCACTCGTGGAGCTGTGGATGCGTCAAGCGAGGAAGTTTAGGGGTCATGGTGCGGGATGATTGTGCGAGGAACCAGGTAGCGCGCACCAAAGGTCATCGCAGAGATGTGAGCAGCTCGACAAGCGATGGCACCACAGAGCGACGAGCCACGTGTCGTACAAGCGTGTCGTAGTAACTACCTTGGTCGCGACCGCAGCAGCGGATAGCTTCGCAGTGCACCCAAGTGATTCGCTCTATAGCACGATGTCCGGCTCGACTAGAACAGGCGGTCGAATAAGGATGACGAGGATGCGCCAAATCTTGGCTGGCTCACTTCCTCTGGCAGTACAGAACCCCGCGACTCCTCCCCTCCTACCCTGCGAGCTATGTCGCGGCGACACCGGCTCATGCCCAGCGACCAAGTGCCCGCGTGCAAACGCACCGTCTCACTTTTGTTCTTGATAGATACGCGGACCGAACGCGAGGTAGTAACGACAGTCGGTGCACAATCTTGTCCAATGTAACAGTAGAATTTATTAATTGATAGAGCTGTACCGGTGGCGCGTGGGCTGCTTGCGTCGGAGGACAGCGACAAGTGCGAGCAACATTGCGACCAGTGCAAAGCCCACGACGCTGAGCACGGCCGAGTGGGGGACCGAGACGCCGTAGAACGTCGTGGTTGCCGACGATGGAAGGAACCAGCCGGCGTTGGCCGGGCCCACCGAGACAAAGATGGCTTGGCGGGGCGGCGTCGCCAGGGGCGCAAAGGTCTGGTACGTGTTGGCCAGCGCGATTTCAACCCGCGGGCCGCTCAAAAGGCCGGTTTTGCCACTCGGCAGCGTGGACGGCGTCTCGTTAAAGTACTCGATGTGGCCGCGACCAATGCCCGAGACATCCAGCACGTCCACGACTTGCACGATGGCCTTGCCCGAGCCAAGCACAGACGCGTGGGCGCGGAGGCAGACCCAGGACCCGGCGTTGATGTTGCCGCCGCCGACGATATCGACCTTGCTCTTGCCGCATTTTCCATATGGATAATAGTTGATCGAGCCAGAGCCAAGAATGTGGCTGGCCATGTCGGCGACCGCGTACGTGCCATGGACAAAGATGGAGCCTTGGCCGCCGACCGTCGACTCGACCGAGTCGACAAACGCTTCGGCGGCCTCGACGATGACCGACCCGATGCCAAAGACGTTAAGATCGAGCGTGTTTCCCAGCGTCAAGTGCGGCACCGTGTACTGAATGTTGCCCGAGCCATAGGCGTTGAGTGTGAGGCCTTTCACGGCCACCGGCCCGGTGGACTCGATCCAGACGTTCTCGTTGCCGTACGCTGCAATGTCGATGGCCTCCGCCGACGCGTTGTCCAGTAGCGTGCCATGGCCAAGGATCGTTTGCGCCGACGTCGAGACGGACCGGACCGGGCTGTTCAAGATGATGTGTACGAGCAATGTGCCCTGCACCCGCGTCGACGTGTCGCGCACGCTGAGCTTCAGAATCGGGTCGTCTCTGGACACTTGCATCTTCCAGTCGTGGATCGTCGACGTGTACGTGCCATTCACGACCTGCACCGTGATCAAGTCGATGAGATCGCTCGCATTGCTGCGCAGCACGACCTCGGCTGCCGGCGCCGAGGCGTCCGCGCTGCTGCGGCGCGTGATGAAGACGCGGCCTGGCAGGCTCAGCTGCAGGCCAACGAGGCCGTCGACCTCGGACGTGTTCCACGTCCGCTGGAAGAGCGACGGGGGCATGATCGTGTCGTCCGCCATGGCCGCCGAAGCAAAAATACTGGCACTTCGCAGTTGCGATCGCCTCGCATTGCGGTGATTGGCTGGATCGCAAAATGCGTGGGAAATGCATTCTACACTTGCATTTTGTATGTCATCCACCCAACGCGGTGAAAAATACGCACGTGGAAAATACCCGCTTAGCGTTGGTCACGGCCGCAGTTCGAATCCCCTTGTCTCGTTCAGGGACGTAGAACGAACCCAAGACGTCGTGCATCTTTTCTGCCTGTCAATTATTATATGTGGCGCGTACCGGCTCCTCTCGCTACATGTTTTGGAGCCAGGCAGCGAACGCCGCACGAGATCAACACGAGATTGCAAGGTTGCACTAAGATTTTCTCTTATCTACCCTTGGTTGCAAGTCGATCGATCGAGGCCGGTGCGAGTCCATGGCGTGTGGCCTCGCTCTCGTCGCGATCGGATCTTTTGCAAGGTTCAGCGCCACCGCCTGTTTGAAGCATGTGAAAAATGCAGTTTCCCACATGAAAGGCAAACTCGATCCAATACCATTGACATTCAAGTTTGCATGCGCTGGGATATGCGAGCGCGCTGGGCTTGGGAGCTGGCACGGTAGCGTCCTTCCCACAGCGCGCTATATCTGCAGCCATTGCCGTCAGAAGGTATGAGCCAACGCTGCCCTCGACAGAAGCTCGCTGCTGCGAGGTGAGTTTTGCCTTGCCACTGGTGAAGAGCGGCGTCTTGAGGGGAGTAGTACGAGCTGCCATGAGCGCGCTACTAGGTGCAAAGCGAGAGTAGTATCGCGTCACATCATCGTGGTGGTGCTTCTTCAGACGTGTCTGGTGGCTTGCCCAGGCCGGCTTGGGTGCTCGGCCCGACCTTCGAATGCGCGTCTTTCTACGAGTATCGAACTTCGAAGCAATTGGTCCCTGCCATAGCAAAAATCGCAGTCGGGGTATTTCAACGAGCATCATGCTGCGGGCCCCCGAGAAGGGCCGCGTCGAAAAGAAGGGCCGGTTCACGATCATCGACCTGCCATCGGACGTCCCTAGCCCAAGCGCCGCCTTTGGCCACGTACGTTCTCGCCTCTTCCGAGTGCTTTGCCAGCGCCGGCTAGGACACGCCGACGTCGTTGAGCAACGACGACGCCTTTGACGCGGATGCGCCGCTGCAAAAGACGTATGCTTCGCGCCATTCCTTGGACGCCACATGAACGACAGCATAGGCGCGTCAAGCAGAAGGGCCGCTTCACGATCATCGACTTGAACCCGACCACGCCATCGCCCGAGCGCAACGCACACAAGGTGTGGACACCACAGCTAGGCACCATTTCTCCATACTGGCATAGACCTTTGAAGACGAGCGCGAGAAGGTGCCCGAGGCCAAGCCGCGCGCTCCGCTCTCGACGCCGTTGACTGTCGACCAAAGCCTAGCACGTATTGGCGCGCACGCCCATGCGTGCTGCCACCACCGCGCATCGCTGGTGCACAATCAAGCCAACGACATTGCGCCATTGTGCACGCTGCCTTTTCCCACCGAAAGCAACTCCCAAGTCATTGTCAACAGTCCGGTCGTCGTCTTGCCGCTGGCCCAGTACCAGCAGCAGCTGGCGCTCCTCTCGACGCTCCAGCAGGAAAACCGCGATTTGCACACCATCACAGCGACGCTCCAAGACCAGCAGCGCCAGCTCTTTGAGCTCCTCCGCTCCTTTCAAAAAGCATCGCCGCCTTCGCCCATGCCGTAATGTTAAGTGACGTCCCTCCTCTTGGCTGCCTTGTCCGTCCACCTTTCTTCGGCGAAATCATCTTCGACGTCCCACCCTATGTCCAAGGGCGTGTCAGCAGAGTGGGAGTCCACCGCCAAACTCCGTGGCAACAAGCAACAAGCAAAAAGCTTGGGCAATACGACGATCATCTTATTGGCGACGGATGGTACAGTAGAAGGTGTAGGGAAGGTCCCGAGCCTGTTGACCCCTGCCGTGGCACTAGACTGTATGATCACGATCGACATGGGGCTTCACAAGGCTGTGCAAGAACGTCCTTCAGTGTCAAAAGGTTATATTTTTAGGGTTTATAAATGGGAAAAAAAGGCGGCGCCTTGGCGCTAGACACGCTTACGCCTGGTTGGGGCCAAACGACGAGTAGTCCGTGTGGTTGGGCAAGACGTACTGCGTAAAGTTGGCACGGAACTCGGTCGCGAGCTTCTTGGCCATGACCTTGTACTGCGCCTTGTCGGCCCACGCGAGCGCCGGGTTGAGCATCTCGGACGGCACGCCCTCGACCGAAGTCGGGACGGCGACGGCAAAGATCGGGTCGACTTCAAACTTGGCGTCCTCAATCGAGCCGTCGAGGATTGCGTCAATGCACTTGCGCGTGTACTTGAGCGACATGCGCGAGCCGACGCCGTACGCGCCGCCGGTCCAGCCCGTGTTGACAAGGTACACGCGCGTGCCGTGGGCTTCAATCTTCTTCTTGAGGAGGTCGGCGTACACGATCGGGTGCTGCGTCATAAACGCCGCGCCAAAGCACGCCGAGAACGTGGCCTGGGGCTCGGTAATGCCGCGCTCCGTGCCGGCGACCTTGGCCGTGTAGCCCGAGAGGAAGTGGTACTGGGCCTGGCCGGGCGTGAGCTTCGAGACGGGCGGGAGCACACCGTAGGCGTCGCACGTCAAAAAGATCACAACCGCCGGGTGGCCGCCGGCCGACGTCGGCTCGTGGTTGCTAATGTGGTAGAGCGGGTACGAGACGCGGCCGTTCTCCGTCTTCTCAATGTTGTAGTAGTCGGGGACCTTCTGGGAGTCGAGCCAGACGTTCTCGAGCATCGCATCGCGGCGAATGGCCGCGTAAATCTCGGGCTCGTTGGGCGCGCTGAGGTTGATCGTCTTGGCGTAGCAGCCGCCCTCAAAGTTGAAGATACCGGCATCGTCCCAGCCGTGCTCGTCGTCGCCAATGAGCGCGCGCTTCGGGTCGGCCGACAAGGTCGTCTTGCCGGTGCCCGAGAGGCCAAAGAAGATGGCCGTGTCGCCCTTCGGGCCCTTGTTGGCCGACGCGTGCATGGGCATGATGCCCTTGAGCGGGAGGTAGTAGTTCATCATGGAGAAGATGCCCTTCTTCATCTCGCCGCCGTAGAACGTGCCGCCAATGACCGCCATCTTCTTCTCAATGTTGAAGATGACAAACACCTCCGACTTGAGGCCGTGCGCCTGCCAGTCCTCGTCGACAATGTTGCACGCGTTCACAATCGTGAAGTCGGCCGCAAAGCCCGAGCCAGGCGCGACTTCCTTGTACTCGGGGCGCATGAACATGTTGGTCACAAAGTGGTGCTGCCACGCGAGCTCCGTGATGATGCGCACCTTGAGGCGCGAGTTCTCGTTGGCGCCGCAGTAGCCGTCAAAGACGTACATCTTCTCGGCCTTGGAGAAGTGCGCAGTCGCCTTGGCGTACAGCGTGTCAAAGACAGCGGCCGTCGTCGGCTGGTTGACCTTGCCCCAGTCCACGTGCTGGGCCGAGGGCTCCTGGCGCACGATGAACTTGTCGTTGGGCGAGCGGCCCGTAAACTTGCCCGTGTCGACAGCGAACGTGCCGTTGGCCGTGAAGACACCCTCCTTGTAGCGCTCCTCGTGCTCAGCGATCTGGTCGTACGTCATGTTGTGGAACACCGTGCACTTGGCGTCAATGCCGAGCTCGTTGAGGCCGAGGGCCGACGTCGTCGTCTGGTGGGTCGCCATGTTGCTGCTGCTGTTGTCAAGCTGGAAGATTGCACAATGAGCTTTCACGCGCAGCGCGCCGCCGCCACCTTGAAGTTGCTCGACCACGCCCAAGGTCGCGTTTGATTCGCCACTCGTAGCCAATCCGCATCGCCCATCAAAGCTCAGCCAATCATCGTGCGTCGTGTCACTTTGCCATTCGCGTCACGTGGACGTTTTACGGCGAGGCATACAAACATCAAGTGCCAACGGCATGTTCGACGGCGGCTTTCGAGTGGGCATTCGATGACGCGCGCGTGTCATCGACCATCTAACCCGCGCAGCGTGCGCGTTCATTGGTCATTCGCTTGGGTGCCTATCGCAGATTTGGCTTTCTTATTCCGCACTGCCCTCGTGGCAGCACATGAGCGCCGATCGTTGAGGGCAATGTCAAGTCGACGAAACGAGAGATTCACTGACGCGACCCCGTGGCGGCGGCGCGGGCAAAGACGCACCCCATCGCCGCATCTTTGCGAGCACCGAGCTACTGCAAGCAGAAGAGGAAGCGAGCGACAGCGCTCGACAGTGTCAAGAACCTCGGCGACGGTATCTTTGCCGCCGACGATCCTCGCGCCGGCCCCATAAAACCGACAGCTGCCACGCGGGCGTGTTGCGTATACGACATGGCGATCTTAAGCCGAAACGAGCGGCTGCGATTGGCGCGATCTTGGCGGATCCCACTTGCGACGAAACAAGGTTTGCCGCTCGCGTGCGTTCCCAGCCTTTCCGAGGTTCAGACGGACCTTGTGAGTCATTCCCAGCCTCTACCTTTGTGATGATGAAGCGACTCGATTCATTTGCGCGGGTCGGGCCCCATAGAGGGTGGCAGGAGGCGCGTCTTGCCGGACATAGATGCTGCCCTGCAAAATCCTCCTGAAGCGAGGCTACTTCAACGTGGCGCCACGTACAGGCCGACCATGTCTTTGGCGCCAAGGAACGACAACAGTATCTTTGTCGGAGCAGGATCGACCTCATAGCGAGCTCTGCATGCGCCTTCCGCCAGAGTGGTGGTCGCTGTGTTGGGTCCATTGCACTTCGTCCAGTCAACGAGGGCAATGTCCTCGGCATCCGAGCGACTCCTTGCGACACGAAGACCATCCGCGCGTCCTCCGTGCTCCGTGCTCGTCGCGTTCCGACAGTTGCCGCTCCTGCGAGGGCTGTTTCAAGCAAACCGACGGCACCTCTTCACCCATGACGGACGCGTTTTGTGGCACCACCGAGGAGCGATCTTCGACTTCATTTTAGGAGATAGAAAGAATGCGTAGCGATCCCAAGGTTACTGGAAAGCAGCTTGCATAGCCAAGACTCGAGCGTTCGTGGAGACCAGCGGCAGCCGATGCATGCGGACAAGGGTTGCTGCCGTGCTGCGACGGCGTGGACGATGGGGTGACAAACGCGGTTCTTGCGAGCAAGGACGAATGCGCTCTCTCAAATGACGATCGTAGAGAAGGCATATCGCGCTGCGATGCATTTGCACAAGCAGACACCAAGCCGTACACGAGGTTGCAGCCACCCAGTCGAGGAGGTTGGGCACGCTGCCAAGAGCGACGCAAGAAACAGTCGGCGGGCATGAGAGCCGCGCCTGGTCAAAGGCGCTGCAGGGTGGCCAGCTCAATTCCAATGGCGAGCTGCTCAATATGGAGGCACGCCAAAAGCGAACGGACTAGCCATCGTAGAGCATCAACACGGCGACGAGGTGTTGTGTCCAGCGGCTAAGGCAGTAGCCACAACATTGACCGCACTTGGATGAGTGCAGGACGTGAAAGCGTCCATGAGGTCATGACGGTCTTATTCGACCTCCGTGGTTGCAGCATGCGTACAGCGTTGACGGAAAGGTCCGATCGTTGGAGGTACAACCTGGAGGTTGCCGAGTGTAGAAGCTGGCGTGGTAAGCGGTAGGAGATAGCGACCATCGCCTAGAGCACGAGTCCTTCGCGGGGTATTCCCTTGCGTGTACACCTCTCGGCTGCAAGGACGCACTCTGTTGGCGTCGTTGGCTCGTCGTCGTGGCGCCGCAATGTGCAGTCAGAGAGATCCTTTGCTTGGGCAATTCGACCTGGAAGCCCATTCAGCATGCCCAACGAGGCAGCCAACTTGGTAGTACAAACATGCCAGCCGCTGTGTGGGACCAAAGCTTTAGCCGAGAAGGTCGCCAACTCACACTCCCGATGCTCAGGTGCAGGTGCCTGGACCCACAACGGGCAGCTCGACGGCAGCTTTTTGTGGAAGAGACCGATCGCGTTGGCTGGTGTTGCGCGATCGTGGAGCCTCCAAGCAATCTTGCTCCCAAATGCAGCAAAGTCCCAGCTCACCGCAAAGACGAGCCAGTTTACACAAGACCGACCGCAACCCAGTCATGGGGACGGACGTGTCATGAAGGAGATATGATGTTCTTGTTGGATAGATATATTAATGTGACATCAAAAAATGCACCAACAATGGCAATCGTCGATTGAGACGTTTACAACTTGTCGTAGAAGCGGTCAAACGGCGGCACTTCGGGGGCGAGACCCTTGCGGACACGCGTCGAGGTGACGAGCTTGCCGGCCATCGACGTGGGGACGAGGGCGTCACCCGTGACGATCGAGTAGTGATCGAACGAGCACTGGGGGAAGGCCTTGCCGCCCGTCTTGGCGCGGAGCTCCTCAGTGAAGCCGAACGACTCGTTGACGGGCATGTACGCGCGCATCGACATCATGGGCGTACCGGGGCGCTGCTCCTCCGAGAAGACGTGGCCACGGCGGACCGTGAGCACACCGTAGACACCACCCATGGCGTCCTGCGGGCACTGGATGTCGACGAGGAAGTAGGGTTCCATGAGCGCCGGCGTCGAGACGAGCTGGGCGGCGAAGACGACACGGCGGGCCGTGGGCATGATCTGGCCCATACCACGATGGATGGCATCGGCGTGGAGCACGACATCGAGGAGGTTGACGCGGAGACCGCGGACGACTTCGTCGCAGAGGACACCCGTCTTGGTGGCCCACTGGAAACCGCCGAGGACCGACTCGCGGATTTCCTGGAGGTACGAGACACCCTTCGTGGCATCGACGAAGATGTTGGGGCCCGTACCATCGGGGCCGTAACCCCAGATCTTGCGAGCATCCGTCACGTCCCAGCCGTGGTTGTCGGCGAGGTAGCGGGCACGGAGCTTCATATCGAAGCGCGGGCCGACCTCATCCTTGCCAGAGTCGATCTCCTCGACGAGCTCGTCCGAGATGTTGGTGGCCGAGCAGAAGAGACGGTTGTGCTTGTTGGGCGACTTGGAGAGCACCGTCATCGACGAGTCGGACGTGACCGTCTCGCGGTACGAGACGACCGGCTCCGAGATCTTGACCGTGGCACCGGCCATGAAGTCTTCCTGGAGATCCTTCAAGCAAATCTCGAGGTGGAGCTCACCGGCACCGGCGATAATGTGCTCGCCCGACTCTTCGGTGAAGCAGAGGACCATCGGGTCCGACTTGGCGAGGCGCTTCATGCCTTCGACGAGCTTGGGGAGATCGGCAGCCGACTTGGGCTCGACGGCGACGCGCACGACGGGCGAGACCGAGAACTTCATGGTGCGGATGGTGTGGCCCGTCTCCGACGTCGTGATCGTACCCGACTTGAGGAGGTACTGGTCGACACCGACGAGACCGCACGTGTTACCGGCCGGGATGTCCGGGACCTGCTCGACGTAGCGACCCATCATGATGATCGTACGCTGGATGTTCTTGACCCAGAGATCCGTCTTCTTGCCCGGGATGTAGTTGGGGCCAAGCATGCGGACCTTCTGGCCCGTGGCGATCTTGCCGGAGAAGACACGGCCGAACGCGTAGAAACGAGCGCGGTCCGACGACGTGGGCACCATCTTGGAGACGTACATGACGAGCGGGCCGTTGACGTCGCAGTTGCGGATACCGTTGGCGCACTCATCGTCGAGCGGACCGTCGTAGAGCGTGTCGACACGGTAGCGCTGGGCGACGACCGGCGACGGAAGGTGCACGACAATCATCTCAAGAATGGCATCACCGGCCGGGAGCCACTTCTGCATGACGCGCTTGAGGAGGGGCTTGCCGACAAGCTCCTGCTCCTCGGGCTTGAGCTCAACGCCGACGGCCGTGAGCATCTTGGCGATCTTGGCCTTGCGGTCGTTCATGATGGCGTCGAACATCTTGCAGATCGGCTCCATGATGAACTGGACGAACGCGCGCTTGAGCGAGCCGTTCTCCGACGAGCGCTTCCACTTCTTGGCGTCGGCGTCGAAGAACCAGTCGCCCCAGAGCTTCTCCATCATCTTCTGCTCCTCAATGCCGAACTTCTGGCCGTAGAGGCGGGCGAACTTCTTGAGCGTGAAACCCCACTGGTGGAGACCCGAACCGAAGGCGACCGTACCCTTCTCGGGGTAGACCTGGACGTCGCCGAGCTTCTCGTCGTTGTACGTGGCAATGATGACGTTGACGTTTTCGATCGAGCGGTTGAAGGCCTGGTAGCACTCCTCCGGCGGGAGCTGGAGTTCGAGCAAGGCGCGATCGACCTTGTTGACCATGAGCACGGGCTTGACGCGCTCACCGATGGCCTGGCGAAGGACCGTCTCGGTCTGGACGCACACACCGTCGATCGAGTCGACGACGACGAGGGCACCGTCCGTGACACGGAGGGCAGCCGTGACTTCCGACGAGAAATCGACGTGACCGGGCGAGTCGATCAAGTTGATGAGGTACGAGTTCTCGTTAATCTCGACGTCCGTGGGCGCGGCGTGGTCGACGCCCGAGGCGGCGTCGGCGTCAGCGTGCGCCTTGTTGGCTTCGAGGGCCTCACCGGCCGACATGTTGTACTCAAAGAACATCGAGATACCCGTCGACTTGATCGTGATACCACGCTCCTGCTCATCGGCACGCGTGTCCGTGAAGCGGGCGTCGCCGGCGTTCTTGGCGGCAATGATACCGGCCTTGGAGACGAGCGAGTCCGTCAACGTCGACTTACCGTGATCGACGTGGGCAATCACGGACATGTTACGAATGTTCTTCGTGTAGTCCATGATCTCACGCATCTGATTAACCGTGAAGTTCACCTAAGCACAGCAGCATGAGCCATCCTGCTCGTCGTCTTCCTGCCATGCGTCCATCTCGGAAGCGGAAGCATGGCCGGCGGCTCATCTTGACGTACCATGTTTGCTGCTTCTTGTGACCGTGAGGCGAAAATGCAAAGTGAGCACGCTGGGGCCAGCCACGGTCGAATCTTGGCTTGATTTATTAAATTCCATACAAACACACAGAGAGTCGCGCGCCGTGAGGTATTTTATTGCCCGCGCAACCCTATTCGCCAGCGCCTTGAGTGGCGCTCAATGGGTGGAGGGCATTTCAATGTGCTTGATGTTCCAGTATCCAGTTCCAGAGGTTTGCGACGGCCAAACCCCTCATAGTAAATACCCTGTGACAAGGCATACGCGCCTGTCGCGGCGTCCCTTCGGATCGAAACGACGCCGTCGATGGGGAACCTCATTATTGATGCGACGGCGGCGGCGTCATGAGCTGTATGCGTTTGGTGCTGGGAATATGCGGGTGTAAGAGTATGTATGGCGTCGTGGTGGGCGAGGCCAAGAGATTCGTTGGCAGAAAGGATGGCATCTCGACGACCATCCGACAGCTTCAATCGTGTCTGACAGCTCTTCGACAGTCTTTGACAGTGGTGCACTAGTACGGCAATGTATACTCGCACGTACGCAGGCGAGGTATTGAAAGTCTCTGCGCAAGCTCGCTTGTTACTGGATCGATACTTTGGGCATTTCACTGCACTCTGCATCTCCAAAGTGGCCATGACGATCGAGTGATTGGCAAATAAGATCTTGGTCTGCATCATGCGACGTCCCCGCCCCGTCAAACGACTACCTAGGAATCGCGCGCGATGCAATACCTAGGCAGTTGCTATTGCTCGAGTTGTAGCTCGTCAAGACGAACGCGTTCGTTGATAAGGCTTTCCTGTCCACACATCACTACATTATGGCGTGGGGTCTATGCGTCGTAGCAGCGTGCGACGTCGTGTTCATGCACCCAAAGGTCTACCGTTCGACGGAGACTGCGGAGTGCCATTGGCTATGTCGCCAAAACCTCCGAGACCCCACATCCTGTCAACGGTGGTGGGCCCGGACGTATGTGTTTTCAGAGGGTTTTCGCGCCCGTGGCAAGGAATCTCATCAAACCAATTATAAAATGGACCAATCACAGGCCGGGGCCGACCGCGCGGGACAACGGAATTCATTGAAGGCGTCTTTATTTAACCTTGATGTTTGTATCGAAGTGCGTGAAATTGCATTGTATTGCCTTTTAAACACCAGACCCAAAACGTTGACTGGCGATCGGATCGGGAAACGCGAAACGCACGCAACGGACAAGGCCGCGGGCCACAGCCCGTCGACGCCGATGGTCCGCAGCCGCCGACGCACTGGCCTTGCCTCGCCAGCCCAGTCAGTGTCCTAGCCAGTGCGTTGTGCAGCAATGACGGGCCATTGACGAGATGGACGCCATGCGGTCAATGACGCAGTGTCTCCAGCGACGTGATGCACCGTCTAGACATGTCGGCAATCCCGTCGCTCGCCTTGATGGCAGTTGCAGTGGCGCAGGTGCAGCAAATGTCAGACTGCAGGATGTGGTAGCTGTCTCGGCGAGCCTTATCGGGCACGGCCAGCGCCGCGCAAAGGGTCTGATCTGATGGTGTACGGTTTGAGCAGTCGGGGTCCGTCCGCAAAGAGGCAGCAGCGTGAGTGGAGCTTAGGTTGGCGTACGAGGGCGGACGCAGGACCGCCGCCGTGTTTCCCGTGGCCCAGCACGGTATCTTCTTGCGGACACGCCGAGCCGGTCGTCGTCGTACCGGTATGACGAGCCCAAGCCTTCATAAACACCCACCACCGTCAACCATGACAGAGCAATATACACCTCGACGATGTAGTACGCCTTATGCAGGGTCTTTGCTCACAAAGGAGCATCGCTAGGAATAGTACAGGCATACAAGTACGTGGTTCATGATCATGGATCGATTACAAAATGGTCGACTGGTTGATCTCGACGAGCGTGTCTTCGTACGCTTGCAAAGTGGCTGTTGTTTGCGTCAAGTCGCCGCGGCGGTGCATCTTGTCGTCGGCGAGAAGGACGTGGCCGATGCGCTGGTGGCCAGCAAAGAGGTTCTTCTGAAGTACGAACGCCAGCTCCTTGATATGGTGCAAATGGTACGCATGGCGGCCCACAAACTTGGTCGTTGGCACAAGCTTGAGCGCGTGCGGCACGCCGTTCGCAGTCGCGGGGTAGTGAGCACCACTCACCACGTCGCCAATGACGACGAGTGCGTACTTGCAGTCCAACTCGACGCACATGGCCGCGCAGACCGCGTTGAAGTCGGCCTCGAGGTGGCCGAGCCGGTGCACGGACCGCGTGACCTCCGTGTCCCGATACATTGCGGCCGACGAGGCAAAGACCTCGGTGTCGCGATAGCAGTCGCCCTCGTCGTTCAAGTCGTACGGCAGACTGTCGTTGCTGGCCGTTGTCATCGTCATCGACACCTCCCACGGCACATCGTCGCCGCCGCGGTGCGACGATCGGGTAGTGGCCGACGACGCCGCACGCTGCGACGCGCTGGACGACGACTCGGAGCTGCGGACGTCCGAGCCGCTGTCGCGCGGCGCAACGCTCTGGCCCTTGTACATGCACGGGCGGCAGACGCGCTTGCCATGCACTTTTTCCCGGCATTTTTTGCAAAGGAGCTGCTTGCAGAGCACGCAGTGGCGGTACGGCTTGGTCTTGGTCGGGCAGAGATAGCACACACTGGTGCCAGAACGGATTGCGTCGACTGCGTGGCCGCGCGGCGACAGCAAGAGCGAGGCCGAGTGGTCCAGTCGCGGCGGCGCGTTGCGGCCAAGGACGCGGTCGAGAAACTTGGGCTTGGGCTTCGTCCCGAATGTGCCCCGCGCAATGGCTCCCGGCAGGAGCGACGAGACGGTCGACGAGTACGAGGCGAACCGAAGGCTCTGGACGCGTTCGAGGATTTTGCTCATCGTCGCTTTTGCGAGCGTCTCAAAGAGCGACGCGTGCTTGTCCGTGACCACCGCGACAATGGCAAGGACGACGCCGCCGTCGTCACCGGCGGTCATAGCGAGCCCGAGGACGGTCGGGGCGAGGGCGTCCGTGGCCACGCGCTGGGCGGACGTCACGTGGTACTCGGCCACGGCTGTGAGGCTCGAGACGTGGACGGGCGGTCCCGGCCGGTCCCACACATGGTTCGCGTGCTGGAGAAAGCGGTGCGAGCCCGACGGCAGCGACGAGCTCTTGGATGCCCAGGTCGCCTTCTTGACGCGGACGTCGACGCCGGTGACAAACTCGCCGACGTTGCCCGTTGGCCAGTGGCAGCACTCGGTCACGTCCTTGACGTCATCAGAAGGCGAACAAAACACGAGCTGCGCCTCGAGGTTGAGGTCCCCGCTCGGCAACAAGACGCGATGCAGCTCGTCGCACGAGACGTCCATGGCGTGTCGCACGATCACGCGCTGGTAGCGACGCGGGTACCGCGCACTCGTCGTGCTCACCGAGATGGGCCCGGCCGTCGTCGTCGTCACGCTCGGGTCGTTGATCGGCGCGTCAATCCAGGCCAGGACGCGCCGCGTGTTGCGCGAGGCGAGCTCCATGAGCTGCTTCTGGATGCGTGGAGGGCAGTCGGCGCGGAGGTACTCGTCCATCGACATGGCGGTGAGAGCAAAACGCAAGAGTAACAGGAAGAAAGGACGGGAAATCGAGTCGCCCCACCACGCTTTTACCACCGACAGAAAGAATTTGAGATTCATTTCCAAGCTACAGCATGCCATCGAGAGAGCTGTCGTACGCTACGGCAAGCGATGCGCCTCGTACGTAATGTAGCGCATGCCTGCGGATCGCTGCCACAGCCTTGCCTGGTCCATCATGATCGCACGCATGGACAGCGCCATTCAATCCCGCCCAGGGTCTCCGGGCGAATGCCGTCGCAGAGCGCTGGCTAGCAGTCCTCGACGAGCCATGGAGCCTTGTCCGTAAGGCCATGCAGCAATCAAAGCAGGTCACGGGCCAGCGCTGGTCTTGCGGCTTGTTGCACCAAGACCCAGCGGGCGACCTACACATCTAGCATTCTCGCTAGCTTTGGCTCTGGTAGCACTGGCCGCTGTCACCGTCGCTGTCGCCCGTGCCACAGCGGCCCCTGACTGGCCGACCAGTGCTGTCGCATCCACTGTTACCTTCAAAGACAGTCTTGATAAAAAGGTCGCGCTTGTCGCAAGACCAGCCGGTGCCCTAACCGGTTACGCATTGCGTCGGTTTGTGCAGGAAACCGGCTCGACTCAATTTCGATCTTATTGCAATCTTACAACGTTATTACATCATCCACAGTGAATCATCAATGCTCTTCCATGTCTCTGGAAGCAGCGGTTCCCACTGAACGTTCGCATGCGGGAGAACCTCTTCGTAGAGGGCCACGAGGCAGGCGCGAACTTGTGGCTCGTGCACGCTGTTGACCCACATGGCGAGGCGGGCGGCGTTGGCCGTAGCATGTTCCGTCGCCCACACACAGAGCATCGCGATCGCATAGTTGACGACGTCGTCGTCGCGAAGACGAGAGAGGAGCTCTCGGACGGCGCCAACGAAGCACTTTGCTGTCTCGGGCTTGGGACGCAGCCTCGCGATCTGGTCGTAAATCGTCTCGGCGATGAGGGCGAGCACCGCCGACGTGTTGCGCGTGTAGAGCACCTTGTACGCTTCGACGAGCATGCGGATGTTGTCTATCGGATTGGTTGGCGAGAGGCAATGCGCGAGGAGCCGACGAAAGGCCTCGACGTGCCACGCCCAGTTGCTGACGTGGACAAGCGCGTCGCATGGATCACCCATGCCGTAGACGACGAAGAGGTCCATGACGGTGTACAGGTGGTTGCAGCCGGCAAAGAGGAGCCAACTGGTGTCGGCTCGAAGCGACGGGTCGATCGAGAGCAGGTACTCGATCGTTTTGCAATGCGAGCCGAGGACAGCGAGACGAAAGGCTTCGGACGAGCACCGCACGCCACAGACCTCGACGAGGTAGCGCACGATCGCCAGCGACCCAGTCGACGCGGCCCGCTCCAGACCCTGCGGCGGAAAGACCGTCGTTGGATCGGTTGCGTGCAGATAGCGCACAAGGTCGAGACGGCGCGAGCCGCACGCGTACGCGAGGTCGTCGGGCGTCAAGACGACCGCGTGCTGGCGCAAGAAGACGGCGACTTCCATGCACGTCGGCCCCATTAGCGCAGCTTCGAGATCGATGTCGACAAGCTCAAGCTGGATCGTGGGCTGCGACACGAGCCGCTGCGCAATGCCGATGTGGCCTTGCTCGAGAGCGCGTTGGACGGCCGACGCGAAAGACTGCGGCGGTACGGCACTGCGGCATACGAGGTAGTCGAAGACGGCTGTGTGCCCAGCGGCGACCGTCTGCTCGATCGCTGCCGGCCCAATTGCGCCAAAGGTGCCAGTCCCGTGCAAGAAGACGACGACGTCCAAATGGCCTCGCTGGATCGCGACGTCGAGGGCATTGGCGCTGCAGCCTTCGGTCCGATGCGTACACAGGAACGCCACCACGTCGAGGTGTCCATTGTCGATGGCAGCGTCGAGCGCGCGCCTTGTGCAGCCTTCGCTTCGATGCTCGTGCAAGTAGCGGACGACCTCCACGTGGCCATTCGCTGCGGCTTGGTCCATGGCGTCCGTCGAGCATCCCTCGGGCCGATGGGTATGCAAAAACACGACGACGTCGAGGTGTCCGTTGGTCGCGGCGTCGTCCATCGCAGCGGTCGTGCAAGCGACCACATCAAGGTTATGCAGATATTGAAGCACATGTAGATGGCCATGGGCTGCGGAGCGATCCAAGGCAGCCGACGTGTACGGCTTGCCGCTCTCAACGAGCTGCTGGACAATGTCGAGCGCGCCGAGCGCCACGACGTCGTCGACGCTGGCGTCCTCCACCAGCGTCAGCAAGTACCGGGCAGCGTTCGTGCAGCCGCTGTTGACGGCCATGTGAAACCAATCACCGGGTCTCGCCGCGGACAAGCTGGCGTACCGATACTGCAAAAAGCAAGCAAAGGCCTCGGCGCTATCGCGGTAGAGCACAGTATGCGGTAGCTGACTGCCAATCCGTTGGGTCCAGTGCTCGGCGTCCAGCGGCGATCGCCGCACAGACAGCGCGGGGAGGGACGCGTCGCGGAGGGCGAGGAGGTCCTTGGCAATCGATATGTGGTTGTGCAGAAAGGCCGTCTCGATGGCCTCGGCGGACGCCAGATGCGGGCAGCACGCCAGTAGCCGGTCGACGACATACGCGTCGCCTTCGGCAATCGCCACGTGCAGCGGGAACCGCACGTCGCTTGCGCCGGCGAGGGACAGCCCAAGCGTGCTTGCGTAGAGCACTGGCAAATGCTCGTCGTCCATATCGACGCTGTCGTCGGCGGCGAGGGACGTGGCAAAGCCGGCGTGGAGAACGTACATGCCACACTTGGGGGACTGGTGCCCACATCGATACTCGACCGCACGTCGAAACGCTGCAACGCGAGGATACACGTCCCCGTAGATGCCACGCTGGTAGCTCAAGACGAGCGCTGCGATGGGGGGCTGGCCCACGATGTCGACAAAGCTCGCCATCTCGTCACAATCCAAACAGTACCAGCAGGGTACAGGTACAGTGTACTGTGGTTCCGTGCATAAACGCAGCAGCGTGATGAACATGCGACCGCACGCAGCAGCAGCAAGAGGAGGTGATCTCTGCGTGACGATGAAAAAGGTGCTTGCATGCTTAGATAGAGTCCTTGTTAGTATACAGGGCATGATGCGACGATGGGCTACGCATACGCGACGACGACACTGGAAAGGGCAGCGAAGAGCACAAGCGCGTACGTTGGCAGCGTGGCCGGCGCGGACGACGTCGCTGCCGCACTGCCCGAAGGCGTCGTGGCGTTCCCACTAGGCGCTGCACTGCCCTGGAAACCTTGAATGTATTCGAGATACGTCATCGTCTGCATCGTCGCCGTCGTCGCGGCTTCGCTGAGCCCGCAAGGTGGCGAGACGTCCTTGAGCGCACCTTGGGTGCTGGCATAGATCGCTTGGCAGCTCGGGTCGTTGGCCAAGGCGGCGGCTTGCGCCTCCGAGACGCGGGCAGGATACGCTGGCACGTCCGGCGTCACGCCCGCTGCCTTGCAGCACTTGATGAGGGTGTCGCCGCGCCCCAAGACGGGCGTCAGCGTGGTCTGGAGCATCTGGCCGGCGCAGGGCAGCGTCTCGGCGTACGCGATCGCGCAGTAGAAAGCCATTGCACCGTAGTACGTCTTCATGGTGGTCTGCGTCGTACCGGGTCAATTGGCAAATGAACTTGGACAAATCTGTGCACACGTATCTTTTACGTTTTATGGCAATTTGAGTGCATTGAAGTTCGATTGCACCAATGAGCATCGATATAGCGTGTGGCGGGAAGCGGAAATTGCCTAAACACGTACGTTTCCGGGAAAAGCCCGGAGCGAGTGCACACCGCGGTGCTGTCTATTGCTAACTAATCTATTCGAATGATGCTCGATTTCGTATTGGCCAATCGGACGCAGCGACACTGGCCTTCGAAAATCTGACAGCCGACGACGACGATGGCGACGATGCGCATCGCCCACAACCTTCGCCGCCAGTGCTTCGTCGCCACGGACGCGGCCGCGGCCGAGCTGGGCTACCTTGAATACGAGCCACTGAGCCTCCAAGGGTGCGTCTCGAAGCTGCTACATAGATGGCTAACACAAGGTATGGTGCAGGCAAAAGGTCTTGGACCTGGCCCACACGGTGGTCTTGCCCGCGGCGCGGGGCATGGGCCTCGCCCAAAAGCTTTGTGACGCCGCCTTTGACTACGCCAAGGAGAACGGTGCGACTCGAGTTTTTCGTGGCGTCCACTAGACCTTTTGTCGTAGGCTTCAAGGTTCGCCCGACATGCTCATACATCAGCCAGACGTACCTCGTGCGCACGCAGCGCCCGGACGTCGCGAGCCTCGTCCATCAGGGTCCGGACGCATCGTTGTAGGCTCGCGATCGTTTTTGCCTCTTTCAGATCCGAGCAAGGCGAGACCACAACCACATGTAAATGCAGCGACAAAGAAATCTAGTTGTTATCCAGACAATGTGGTCGCGTGGGAAGCCAGACGCGCTAGCTCAACCAAGTCCAAACCTGTAGCCGCAAGCTGCGATGGCTATTGACAGTCACGGTCGACAGCGATCATTTTTCCGCAAGCAAAACCGTGTGGCCGTGCTAAGGGGCGTTGGTTTAGCCACGGGCTTTTGGAGGTTTCACAACCAAATCTTTCTAGCACGAGCGAAGCGTCAACATGGACGCGGGTCGAATGAAGAAGCACCGGGACTCGCTCGGTCGCGCCGACGTACCCGTGTGGCCGTCGCCCGACCGGATCCCAGAGCATTGGGAGACCGAGCTCAACCACGAGCTCAAGATCAGCGTTGCGCGGCCATTGGCACCGTCGCCCCGCCATTGCATCATCTCGGGCGGCGTCAAAGGCGTACACGAACTGCTCAAGCGCAATCGGCAGTGGGCCGCCGAGACGGTGCGCGACTCGCCGTACTTTTTCGAGAAGTTATCGCAGGCGCAGAGCCCCGAAATCCTCTGGATCGGTATACGTGCATGGCTCGTAACATAGCGCAACCATGGCGTAGGCTGCTCGGACGCGCGGGTGCCACCCAACCAGATCCTGAACCTCAAGCCCGGCGACGTCTTTGTCCACTCGAACGTTGGCAACGAAGTCGGTATGTGCGTTGCGGTATGCGTCAATGGTAGCTAAGGCGTAGACAGTGCACAGCGACCTCAACTGCCTCTCGGTCATCGAATACGCGGTCGTGCATCTCAAGGTCAAGCACATCATCGTGTGCGGCCATTACGGGTGCTCGGGCATCAAGGCCGCGCTGAGTCGACAAGAGTTTGGCCTTGTCGACAACTGGCTCCGGACCATCAAGGACCTCTACATCGAACACAAGACACACTTTCTTGGTGCGTCCGCTACTGCGCTGCATACGCTAACAGGACGTTTAGCGCTCGAGCAGCCAAAGCAAAAGCTCAACTTGCTCACGGAGCTCAACGTCACCAAGTCGGTCTACAACGTACGTCGATTCTTGTCTCTACTAACGGTGAGCTCACGGACTGCCGCTAGGTGTGCCACACTCGCATCGTACAAAACGCATGGAAAGCGGGCCAAGAGCTCAGCGTCCACGGCTGGTGTTACAGGTAGAAGCACCCAACGTTTCTCAACTCAAAAGCACAGTAGCATTGAAGACGGCGAGATCCGGGACCTGAACGTGACGATGACTGACGCGTCGTGCGTCGAGCCCATCTACCAGCGCGCGATGGAGAAGGAGGCGTCTGAGATTCAAGCGACCGCCAACATCCCTCGGAGCCCGCGACGTCAGCACTGCGGCAAGCCGCCGCTCAAGACCGCCGACCTCTTTTAGAGCGCGTCACAGCAGCTCGGCAACCCTAAGGCGACAAAGCTGCATTGTGCTGCATTATGGACTAGCACGAAGATCTCAGTTTGAGTATGGGCGATGCAGGGACAGCATGGATGGCTCTGTGGCATCACCAGCTAGAAGCTGCGACGCTGGCCACGTAGCTCTCGTGGACTGCAGTACCAGGCAAAGTATGCGAGTCATATTGGGCTCGTAGTGGGGCTAGGGTTGAAAGTTGAACAAGTTGTACTCTGGTGGCCGACTAGCACTAGTGCTATTGCGGCTTTAGGTCGCAAGCGCCATGCAGAAGATACATTGGCGCCACCGCCGCCGAAGCGAGGAGCGCTGCATGGGCTCGAGACAGTACAGAGAAATGTTCCTATATTGAGACGGATATGAAATATGACGTGCCTTCGAGGGCTTTTGCTGGTCACGTTTGATTGGCTGAAAAGGTGTGATTAATTCGGAGGTGGAGGGCGCTGATTGGCGCAAAGGCGCGTCCGCCAGGCAATCCTCCTCAACCTCATTTTAGCTCCCCCACGGGCCGAAGAACAAGAGTCCGTCGCCGCTGCACGTGCGTCCGCCGAGCCCTCGCCATAGATCTTAGCCTCTTCACAGCTACCTCAGCATGGTACGGGCGTGGCGCCATGGCGGCCATCTGCGTCGCGCGATCCTCATCGCGGCTGCTTGTCTAGGTTGTCCTCTCTGCAGCGCTCTTGGCCAAGAATGGCAAAGGTAGGCACCTTGGCATTGCGTGCGCAGGCTAATGACAACGGCGCCTAGTCATGGTCGCCCGCCAATTCGTCGAGGTGTCCCGGATCCGACTGGAGGTACATGGCGTCGACGCGTGGCAGCCTCCAATGATGGTGGTCCATGTAGGGTCTCTTGACAGCGTTCCCGAAGCTCTTGGCGAGCGAGTCGCGCCAGCACACGTTTATCGACACGGAGAGCGTGCGCTACGTGTACCAGCCGATCGAGAACTTTTTCCTGCTCTTGATCACCAACAAGACGAGCAACATTGTCGAGGATCTGCACACGATGCAGCTCATGGCGAAGCTCGTGCCCGACATTTGCGGCCCGCTCACGGAAGCCCACATCCGCGAGAAGCAGTTTGACCTCGTCTTTGGCTTTGACGAGCTCCTCAACGCCGGCGGCCACTCGGAAAACATCAACCTCGCGCAGATCCGCACCAACATGGAGATGGAGTCGCACGAAGAGAAGCTCCATTTGATGATCCAGAAGACCAAGCAAGAGAACGCGATCGCTGACATGAAGCGCCAGCAGCAGCGCATCAAGGAAGAGCAGCGCGAGAAGGCGCGCATGGAAAAGGCTGCGGGCATGTCGTCGCCCTTCAACCGCAACGCGTCGTCGTCGGCGTACGGCGGCTTTGGCAGCAGCAGCAGCGGCTTTGCGTCGCCATCGGCGTCATCGAGCACGTTCAAGTCGCCCGAACCGACGTACACGGAAGCGCCCAAGCTCTCGGTCGCCACGTCCAAGACGTCGGGCATGAAGCTCGGCGGCTCCAAGCCCGGCAACAGCTTCCTCGACGCCATGGCGGCCGAGGACGACCTCAAGGAAATCCCCCCGATGGCGATGGCGGCCGCCAGCATGCCTGCGCCGTCGGCCAAGCCCGAGCCCGCGGCTGCCGTGAGCATGGAGCCGGTCGGGATCGCGATCGAAGAGAAGATTTCCGTGTCGCTCAACCGCGACGGCGCCGTCGAGCAGCTCGAGGTCAAGGGCTCCTTGTACGTCGCGGGCAACGACCCGGAGGCGGCGGTGTGCCGCCTCCACTTGCGCCACTCGAACGCCAACGGCATCAATTTTCAGGTACCCGCATCGATCCCTGCAGCGCGCACCTTGTTATTTTCTCATTTGCAGACGCACCCCAAGGTCGACAAGAAGCTCTTTGAAGCGCAGTCCATCTTGGCCCTCAAGGTAGAGCCGTCGCTGCAGGTCTTCCCCATCGACTTGAATATGGTGCAGGACGACTCGAAGCCGTTCCCGCCGTCGCGCGTCGCCGTCCTGCGCTGGGCCATCAAGACGCAAGACGAGACGTTCCTGCCACTCAACATTACGTGCTGGCCCGAAGAGGAAGGCAACGGCAAGGTACCTACTCTCGCTCAACATGTCGCTTGGATTTGCATTTGGCGTAGATGACTGTGAGCCTCGAGTACTCTATGGACCGCAACATGACGCTCGAGAACGTCAACATTGTCATCCCGCTCGGCGCGACCGACCTCCCGGCCGTCTCGCACATTGACGGCGACTACCGGCACAACGCGGCCGACGGCGCGCTCCTCTGGCACCTCGACTCGATCTCGGGCGCAAATAGCTCGGGCTCGCTCGAGTTTTCGATCCGGGGCACCGACCTTGACGCGTTCTTCCCCATCTCGGTCTCATTCTTCTCGCGCTCGATCTACTGCGACTTGAGCGTCGACTCGGTCCTCCGCATTGCCGACAACGCGCCGGTCAAGTACGGCTTTGACCAGCTGCTCTCGACCGACGCGTACGTTGTGCAGTAAGCCTTCATCTAAGCCGCTGGACAAGAAGCCGTTGTTGTTATCTGTGTGAAGTTGTATTATCTAGAGCGTCGTGGGGTGGAACTCGGGGGCCATGTGCCGCAGTAGCTCTTGGCCTTCGACGCGGAGGCTGCGCTCGAGGAGGCGCGTGACGAGCGCGCATTGACCTTGTGCTTCTTGGCGCTTGAGGCAGTGCACCCATTGGGCGGTGATGGCCGGCGCGAGTGCGCGGCCGGTGCAGAGCACCGCCTCGATGTACGCGCCTTGCTGCTGCTTGTGCTGCCCCGACCGCGCAATCTCCTTGTACTTGGAGAGTACGTCGTCGCAGAGCCGCCATTGCCGGTACTTGGCGGCGGTCGCCGACTGCTGCGGGTACGCGAGCGGGTGGTCGTCGTCGTACATGCGTCCATCGTCGAGGCGCTTGTTTACGATGTGCTCGTGGAGCTCTACGACATGGGCATGCATGAGCGCACGTAGACCATCGACATCGTACCGAAGAGCGCGCCCGCATTCGGCAGGTGCTGGGCCATGCTGCAGGCAGGGCGGCGATGATGACGGTGTCGGCTCTCGGGATTCCGGAAGCGTCCTAATTTCGGCATCCGCCGAAATTTAAAGTCATCCGGATAGGATTGTCGTATCCGAACTACACGTGGCAGCTCGAGCGTCGTCGTGGCGTGAAGCACTAACGTCCATAGCTATTGCGTGCTCAGTGCGATCCCACTGAGCACGCAATAGCTATGGACGTTGTACTTTACTGCGGAATCTCTTGAAACCTTGATATTTGCAGGAGGAACCATCGCTCGTGTGCGAGCGTTCGCATGCATCGAGTCAAAGTGAGACCGTACCGGCAACTTTGTGGCTTGAACCCTAGCTTGAAGGCGCATCGATCACGGCGACGCAAGCTGTTTGTGGCTACATGGGCCCTTGGTGGCGTTGAAGCCGCATCGATCACGGCGGCGCAAGCTGTTCGTGGCTACATAGGCCCTTGGTGGCGGGTAGTGCGTGTGATGAAGAGAGGGACGTAGCTGTGATGTATGGACGAGTGCGTTCGGCTGCAGCAACTGTGCGTCTACAGATGCTCGCGGAGAGTAATCGACCTTGATCCTTTGGCCCATCTTCAAGATACGGCGGCTTGCGCCAAAGCTACTTCACGACGTCTAAGAACCTCTGATGAGATCCGCTTGCAGCTGGTTCAGTTGCAGTTGCTGTTTCGATTGATGGCCAGACCGCTTCTTGCTTCTGATATGGTATCTACTCCTCTGGAAAGCCCAGCGGCGCTCTGCCAAGACAACACAGATCAACCGGACACGAGGTTGCCTCTGGTCTCGAATCGCGCTTCAGTTGACTGGAGTTGTTTGCCGTTCAGATCTTAGTCGCTATAAATAGATACTCGTATAAAAAACTCAACACGTGTATCTACCGATTTGTATCGGAATGGAATTAAAATATCGAAGCCAGATGCTGGGATTTTCGAAGCGCTTGCGATCTTGAAGCATCCGCGGACGTGTTGCCACAATCCATTCCACCGACGGCAAGTACGATGCTGCGCTCTCTAAGTCGGCGCAGCACTCGGCTCTTCTCGACGCATCCTCCTGCTGCGTGCAAGCCCGCGCTCGTGGTGTTTGACAAGGACGGGACGCTCATCGACTTCAACTTGATGTGGGGCGGCTGGGTCGAGTCGGTGGCCTGGCAGCTCGAAATGACGACCAAGCTGCCCGTGCGCGAGAAGCTCTTCACGGCCATGGGCTACGACTGGATCTCGCGCTCGATTCGATCGAAAGGCGCGCTTTGCTGCACCCCGATGGGCGAGCTGTACCAAGTCGCGGTCAAGGTCCTCCTCGACGAAGGTGTCGCGGCCGACGCCGCCGAGAAGGCCATCAAAAAGGTATGGCAGATGCCGGACGCTGTCAACACGTCGCGGCCGCTCGCCGATATTCCAGCGCTCTTTTTGACCATCAAACGCATGGGCATCAAGATCGCCGTGTGCACGGCCGACAACCGTGCGCCGACCATGGCGACGCTCCAGCATCTTCAAGTCGACCACCTCGTGGACGCCATCTCATGCGGCGACGACGGACTGCCGGCCAAACCCGCGCCCGAGCAGGTACATTGTTTCTATGCTTTGCATCGCTCACCAGATTCTAGATCTGGACCATGTGCCACAACCTTGGCATCGCGCCCCACAACACCATCATGGTATGCTTGATATCTATACCGATTCCAGCGTTGCTACTCTCACGTAGATCGGTGACACGTGCACCGACATGCTTCTTGGAAAGCACGCGGGCTGCGGCCTCTCGATCGGCGTCCTTGGCGGCGCCTCGTCGCTTGAAGACCTCGCGGAAGACGCCGACGTCCTCGTGCCCAACTTGCCCAAGATCATCAAGGTGCTCTTCCAGTACAGCCAGCAAGCCAGTTCGTCAACCTAATCCCGACATTGCTATAAACTAGTAAGTCCTCTACATTGCCATTTCTTAATAAATACGACGAGTTGCATTTGTCACGGCCTCCTGGGCTTACCACGACCGATCGGTAGCGCCAGGTCAATGTCGAGGTCGTCTGCGTCCGGCGTCGCGGCGTCGTAGAGTCCCGGCAAGATGCCCACGGACGCCGACGGCGCTACGATGCGCGCGCCAAAGGTTCGTCGTCCGATGGGCGCCTGCTCTTTGAGCACCTTGGCCGTCGTAGCTAGCGAAAGCATCCCACTTTCGTTCTCTAACCGGAGGGGGTACCTTTGTCAGTTGCATCGTCAATGACCCGGTCAGCCTCCACGACGTCCTAGTCCATGATACTAGAGCGCAGCCTTGAAGCATGTACTACCTCGTGCATGGATGGTTCGGGCGTTGACGACGTCGAGTGCACAACGCGGGCGCCCGACTGCATTTCAAATTTCTCAAACATCCCAGCTCCGTTGGCGTCGTACTGCTGCGTCCGAAGCGCAAACTCTTCGTTGCTCATGGGCACAACGACCTCTTCGCACGACTCTTGCCGCCGATCGTTCCACTGCGACGCAGGTGTAAAGGCCGGCGGCGGCTCGTTGGGCTGGGCAGACTTGGCGCAGACCATGCCCATGCTACTACGAGTGGCATACACAGCGGTTTGTACTTGTAGACAGGCGGCAGTTATCGCTCTATTTCTGCTAAGAACTGAACCAGAATTTACGCTTCCCGACGCTGCCGTGTCAATGGCTCGGCGCCCGCCACATGCCCCGCAGCAAGCTTCCGTTGTTGTTGTCGTCGTCGTCGTCGATCGTGGGCGCGGCAGCGAGGTCGCCGGGAAGGACGCCATTGGCGCGTGGCAGATGAATCTTGGGTCGCAAGTGCGCTGGCATGGCGGGTGGCGCCCGCAGCGAGTAGGCAGGTGGCTGCTGCGTGGCTGTACGCGTGGCCTGGAGTGGCACTCGCACCGGCAGCGGCATGCGAGGCTCGTCGTCGTCACTGCCGTCGTTGTTGCCAGGAGTCTAGTCGAGTAGTGGGCGATAAGGCCATTAGGACGCGTTGACGAGGTGGCGCACCTCGTAGCGCGTGGCCTTGGCGGTTGGCACCGCGCGGCCGGCGGCCGTCGGGCGCTCGTCGGTCAACATATGCGTCTCGCGCGAGGCCTCGGTGCCCATACGCTCGTCGTCTTCGGTTTCGGATCTCTCATGCTCGTCGAATGCGCGAAAAACGAGCTACGCGTGCAATATGATTGTTTATTTAGTCCGAGTCTACTGTCTTCTATCCTCTAACGTTAGTCTTCGTCGACGATATCGGGGAAGTCAAATTCTTCATCGTCGTCGGCCACCGGCACCGGCACCGCTTCCACCTCGGGCGTCGCGTCTTCCGGGGCTTCCTCCGGGACCTCCTCGATGTTGACGTCCGCGACGTCCTCGTCGTCGACCTTTTGCCGCTTCATTGCCGGGTCCTTCTCGTCATCGACTACATCATCCATCCATGAGCCTCAGTCACCTCGTCACCAAATGCACTTCCTACCATCATCCTCTTCCTCGTCCTCGACAGCGTCGTCCATCGCCTCGGCCTCCGCTTCATCCTCGTCCTCATCCTTGGCGCTCTCGTCGTCCCAGTCCATGTCGTTCGAGAGCTTCTCCGAGAGGCGCTTGGTCGAGAGACCTGTCTGGCGATGCAGATTGGTCGTCGCCGGCGTCAAGTCGATGGCCATCGGCGGTGCGCGCGGATGCAGAATGCTCTCGCCGACGCTCAGTGCGAGGTACCGGGCGTCGCCGGCGCGGCGGCTCGACCACGCCTGCATGCAATGTGCGAGGGCAATGCCCCGCTGACCGTGGCCGTCGACAACGACTGCGTTTGCGAGACCGAGAAGCGTCACGGCGTCCGGAGAGAGCGCGAGCACCGACTCGGCGAGGCAGGCCGCGACGAGGTTGGCGATACGAACGCGGTCCTCGGTGGCAACCCAGCTGCCCGCAGCGTACAAAATCGCCGCGAGCGTCGTCAGCGCCGCGTTGACCTGCGTTGACAAGCGACTCTTGTCGGTGAGCGGCAGCGACGTGGCCGTGCTCTCGGTCACGAGCGGCAGTTGGTCCCGCCGGCGCTTCTTGGCGTTGAGCGCTTTCGACGACTGCACCTGCAGGCCCGACTTGGCGTTGGCTTGGGCGAGCAGCGCTTCGGTGGACGAGAGGACCCACTGCAGCACGAACGCTGTCGTCGACGCATAGCCGCCGGCGCCAAGAGCTTTGGCGACGACTTGGAGCGTCGTGTGGAGTGCGTCGTGCGCGGCGGGCATGGCGCCGTGACACGCGAGCGTCACGACCTTGGTGAGCAGCGACGCGTACCGGTACAAGGTGAGATGACCCCGGCGCAAAAGCGAAGTGAGCACGCGGTAGAGCGGGGCCTGCAACGACGCCAGGATACCGTAGAGCACACTGCTCGGGAGCATACGACCATCTTCCGAGACGGCACTCTAAGATGTGCATAAGAACTCGGAAGGAAACGGTGGTGGATGCGGGACCTGCTTGCCGACCGCGTCGGCGCGGACGCCAAATGCACGGCGAAGGAGCGCGAGGATCTCGGGCGCGATGGCCGAGACGTCCTTCTCGGCCACGCTGCCGTTGGCCAAAAGCGCTTCGAGGAATGCACCGAGGGCTTCAAACTTGAAGGCGACCCGCTGCGCCTGGAGGTACAGCGGCAACGACGGATACGTCGTGTCCTTGACCCAGTTCTTGAGCGACGCCGGTCGGTTGCGCGACTCGCTCGAGTTGTCCTTGCCGCTCGCGAGGTCGAGTTGGTAGTGCAACGAGAGCAGCGACCGTTCCACGAGCTAAAAGCACCGAGCTGAGTACATATGCTGACAAAGTGAAAAGGCAAGTACCTGCGTCCACGCGGCGCTTGTCGCATCGACGGCCGTCGCGTTGGCCACGGCGCCAAGGCAGCGGGCGGCGCTCGGGAGCACGAGGCGCGCCAGCGCGAGGTCCATGGGCGGGTTGAGAATCAGGAGGCACGCCTGCTCGACCTTGGTCGAAAACGAACGGAACGTGGTCGAGTGGTACGTAAGGCCGGCGAGAAGCGCATCGTAGGACGCGGCAAAGTACGTCGTCGTCTCGGCCGTGAGCGGAACGTCGTGGAGGTGCTGGAGCACGACGGGCACGATACGCGCAACGTAGTCGACAATGGCACGACGGCCGTCGGTCGAGGCCTCATCGGCGTTGGTCAAGAGCGCGGCAAAGATGCGAAGCGCAGGCGCGCACACGCTCGAGTGCTGGTGCTTGAGCGCGTGGAAGACGACGTCAAGGATCTTGGGCACACGCGCCTCGAGGTGCTCGACCGCGCTGCCATCGACGACGACGGCGAGGTACTCGAGCGCTGCGACTTGCTTGTACACGGCGCTGTTCTTGGACATGGTGATCAAGTGGTTGAAGAACTTGGTGTACGCGTTGCCCGCGAAGACGAAGCGGAAGACGTGTTGCTCGGTGAGCATGGCCTGGATCTGGTGCGCTTCGGCCGAGAAGATGGCCGCGTCCGTGTCGGCGCCATCGACGTCGGCGAACGCGAGCGCGACGATCGACGAGAGGAGGTTCTTCGCCTTGGTCTCGCGCTGCTGCAAGCTCTCGCTGTCCATTGCGATTGGAATATCGTGCTGCAAAGCCAACCAAATCGAGCCTCCTGTCAAAATGAATGCAAGTGAGATCGATTGCCAGAGGTTTCGTGATACACCATTTGTGTACTTCTGAAATAGTGTGAATGGGTGGTAGGAAAAAGAGCTTCGAACAGCAGGGTGTCGGACATTACGCTCGCAAAGGAGCTCTGCAAGCAGTACGCTTGTGTTGTGCAGGCTATCGATGAGGTACCACCGCCAAAGTGCATGACGAAGCGGGCGTTGTAGCACTTGAGTTGCAATACACTATTTAAAAAATTATGGTAGCCAATCAACGAGCGGGTTTTTCCGCGCCAAAATCCTGAAGCCACGATAAGCACCAAACCCTGCAACCCAAGCGCCCTGGCAAAGCAATAGTTTTAGCTTCAGTGCGCCCCATATCGGTGCATAGTAGTGATATTGATTGGGCTGTCGTTCCCATTACGGTCATTGCGTCCGAAGCAGCGTGTGGCTCGATAGCGAGGCTTTTTTTAGGTACTTGTGGTACTTGTGGTATTTATGGTATTTGTGGTATATGTGGTACATGCCAAGTTTAACTGTTTGGTCCCTACTTGCCGCTGTGCTGCTCGAACGATGACCTCATATAGCATTTCGGGGTCCCCAAAGCGTCCTCTATCGATGTGCCAAGTATGGACAACTTCATTTCCAAACGTGATTCCGGCCACCAGCCTGGCACGGCAGCGAGGTCCAAGGTCGCATCGCATTGGATTGGCTAAAATAATATACATATTTGACCAATAAGCGTAATGTACATGCACTGAGCGATCGCCCTCTTGCGCAGCTTGCATACCGGCAGCTAGCTCTAGGACTCGGGAGACGTCTATCTCGGACTTGGCATTGTAATACCACACATTTCCAGAAACAGCGTTTTTCGCTGCAACAAACGCGAGTGAAGGCACGGATGCACGAGCAAGATCCTTGTCCCGCGGCAGGATTCTTGCACGGCAAGTTACCCGTAATCCGGGCGTACTTATTGACGTCGTTGCATGAAGAAACACGCGTATGTCGGTGTCCTCGTGTCCAAAGACACGCAGCCCAACGTCGTTGAGGCTGGTTGACGTTGACAGAGTCATGGTGTCGCTACAAGTGCACGTTGAACGCGCAGTTTGACGCCGTGCAAGGAACAACTCGTACAGGGAACGTCCAGTGAGAGCACGTGAGAGCGAAGTTCCAAGCGGTGTCGAGTGACGCATCGCGCTCGGTACGACTCGAGTTGCTGAGCTGGCGTCGGGCGATTTGAGTTTGAGTTGACTGGTTTCAGCACCGTTTGAAAGCGAGGGGCTTGCCACGGAGTCTTTGCGATTGACAGACAAGGAGGCAACAGCAGTTCAACAAATCGACGTGTTTAAACTGCTGCATGGACTTTAACGTTGCGTTTTACAGCGATCCTATCGATTGTGAGAGGAACGCGTCCATCGCGACAAAAAGCCACCTTTGGATACCGGTCATACGGTAATAGTGTAAGATACCTGACGCCAATCCTGTCATTTTCAACGAGGTCTTGCTGATCCATTGTACTCTATAACAGCAGCGCGCCAGTGCACTAGCTACACGCCTAATCGCACTCACAGCCTCGCACCGTACAGCTTCATCTCGTCATCGGCCGTCCGATGTTGCCAGCCGAGCCCCTCTATCTTCTTCAGCTTAATTTCTGCAGTAGAACGCTCGTCCATGACGCTCTTCTAGATCTCGGTAGAGTACACGCCCCGTAAGGTGTTTCCACATTCATCGCTCGAGCATTGGCATGCTAAGAGCTCGTCTTGGTGGTGTACAATCCCAGCGGTTCGGATCAGCCTCGTCGGGTGCAATCTTACACTACATCCGGCGGGACTAGCATTGCACACATCGAGTTTGAGAGGGTTTTGGATTAGTGTTGACAATACACTGTTTTGCTGTTCTCTTGTGATTGGCCAAAAAGGCGAAATGGACCTGTGACGTCACTGATTGGCGGCGGTCCCGAGACGTCCACTTTCGATTTCGCCAGCCATGACGCAGCAGAGCCCGATGCGCATGTTCATCATGCTGCCCATGATGTTCCTCATGGGGAAGATCGACTTTGAGAACGAGCTCATCTTGAACGGCGCCCGCGCCTGCTTCCTTGTGTGCCAGGTGGTCTCGCTCCTCCTCGGCCTCTACGCCAAGTCCAAGGTTGAAGCCAAGAAGGACACGACCAAGATTTTCGTGCCCACGCCCAAGTCGCCGCTCGACACGAGCACGGAGAACTCGCCGCTCACGGAGACGACGTACTATGACCACGAGCTCGCCAAGGCCAAGGAGTTTATCCAGCAGACTGCGATCGGCGCCGCCATCTCGAGCTTTATCCACCTCAAGTTTGGCGTCAACCAGGTCGTCGTGATCCAGTCGGTCATGATCCCGCTCAACCTCTACGACAACGTCATCTTGAAGAAGCACATCTTTGGCATTGGCGGCCCGCGCTACTGGGACGAGCGCCTTGAAGGCGAGTCGCTCAACGCACCTGTCGCGGCCACGGAAGCTGCCGCCGTTGAAGACAAGAAACCGGCCAAGGCCAAGAAGACGGCCAACGCCGCTGATGCGATCGTCAAGGCCTGGGACATGGGCGTCGAAGCCAACTTTGAAGGCCTCATGTCGATCCTCCTCAAGAACGACCAGATCAAGACCAAGACGACGGACGGCTGGACCGCCCTCATGGTGGCCTGCGGCAGCGCGCTCGACACGGAGGACATTATCAAGCGCCTCGTCAACGCCAGCGTCCCGGTCCGCGAAGCCGACAACGACGGCTGGACCGCGCTCCACTGGTGCGCGTTCCACGGCCGCCCGGAGGCGGCGCAGGTGCTCCTTGCGGCCGTCTCGAAGGACGATGCGGCCTTTTTGCTCTCGGCCAAGGACAACCAGGGTCGCACACCGTCCGAGGTGGCAACCGAAGAGGACAACGCCGACGTGGCCGAGGTCATTGCGTCGACGGATGGACTTCGCCAGCGCAAGACGGCGGCCGCCGAGGCGACGCCCATCGACGACGTCGACTAAGCGACTCTATAGACGTAATATTCCTA